TTAACACAATCGTATTGTATATAGCTTGTTTTTTTTTTTATTTTACTGCCATATCACTATTTTACCCACAGTAATATTGATGAAGTATTTGATTTTTTTTTTAAACTAAATTTCAATTATAATATAACTCATGAGTTTTTATATTTTAATATTTGTACTAATAATTTTTAGTCATTTTTTATTAAAATTTTAGTAAAAAAATATTACTAAATTAAATAGTAATATTTTACTTAAAAAAATTAGTAAACGAATTCTGATTAATTAAAATTTAGAGAGTACTCGATTATGTATGTGATATTAAAAAATTAAAAAGTTTTGAAACTCAAAATATAAAATTCAAATATAGAATTAAATAATTTTGAAAATGAAACTAAAATTTGTATATACGTGTATAAAGTATTTTACGAACCGTTTCTTTGATTCTTAAACAGCGTTTTGCACTGAACCTTTCGTAACGGTATCAGATTCGACGTATCGCATTAATGTTTCGTATAAGCTTCGAAAAGAGATATGATCACACAAAATGTCCGATTATTACTCGACTGTATAAACAACCTCAAGGCTTTGGAATTACTTCCGATAACGAAATTCTCTTATATACTACTATTACTACTACTACCACTTTATTGTTTTCAACTCTTTCTCTTATACAAAACAACTTTGTTCGATACAAAATATTTAGAAAAAAAATGTTTGCCTTATTATTACATGAAAATATTATCTTGTAATTTGAATTCATAAAGAAAAAAATTTTGTTTTCATTTATTCTCTTTTTCTTTTCTTTTCTTTTAATATTATAAAATTAGAAATTTTATTCCATGTGGAAAATTTAATGATTTTAATAATAATTTACATTACAGTTATATTCTAGCACATGTTAGCAACCTGGTTTACTTCAATTTTACTTTACATCTATGTAAAGTGCATATATATATATGTTTTATAATTTAAAGATCAGCTCGGAGCAATTTTCGCATTTTATAATTTGTCCGAAAGCATTATTAGAATTTATCGCACTGCTTTTATATATACAATATATCATAATAGAAAGCGCTTCATCAATTTTGTGTTTTATATTTCTTAGACTTGATAAATTGTTTTTATCAGAATAATATTTATAATTATATTTAAAAAAAAATAAAACTTTTAGAAATTATTCTAGAATCGCCAAGGGAGATATTTTAAAGCTAAAGAAGATATATTTTTAAATTAAATCCTTTTTGGTTTATAAATTTGTTTAAATTACATTTGCAATGAAAAATAATCAAAAATATTAAAATTAATTTGTTAAAATTTACATTGAACAGAATTTCATTCTAGATATAATAAAATTTTATCAAATAAAAATTCTAATAAATTAATTTTAAACTAGCTTATATATTTATATGCGTCTCAATATTTTGTTTAACAATATGTTGGAGGAACAATTTGAAACTTAATTTTTTTTTTATACCTATATCATTTTCATCTTATTTTATTGTGAAACTAATGAAATTTTTCTATACACTGAGAAAAATATGCTATTGAATTAACAGCATTTCTGCCAAAGGTATAAAAATTATTGATCCAAAAGCATATGCTATAAAATTTGTAAAATATTTTATAGATTCTATAGCATATGCTTTTGAATTAATAATTTTTATACCTTTGGCAGAAATGCTATTGATTCAATAGCATATTTTTCTCAGTGTATACGAAACTTGTTGGATCTAATAAAAAAAAACTAAAATATATTTTGTTTATATAATATTTATAAATGAGATTTACATTTCTGATAACTGAATTATGTAAATGAGATGGAAGGAACCTAAGAGGGTAAAATATCATGAAATTTTGTTTTTCGTTATATATATGGAAATGATTTGCTCGTAACATGATCATTCTGCAGCAAATTTCATTCGCACTATTTGCGCAATGATTGGCATGAATCTAATTAAAGTGCACGCGGAAAGAGACACGTGAGAGTTTATAATCTCGAATGTGAACTCTCCTAATGCAAACAAAATTAGATGCCTCTCTGATGCAATTGAAGAGAAGTGCGAGAGCGGACCGTGGATAACAGTCTCATTCAAATCACGTGTACGTACAGTAGCTGTATTTCGATTATATTCAATCCGTATGTATATATATATATATATTGATGCCAATTATATTGTATATCAAAGCAACGTTTTGAAACCGAAACGAATTATTAAAACCCTTTGGCATGAATAGAAAAAAAAGGATAGAAAAAGAATTTTTAAATTATAGTAATCACGTTAGCACGCGAAGTATATACAGAAGCATAAACACTCCGTGTGTTGAGTTGATTACTGATGATGAATAATCAACAATTACATATATGTCCAACGGCAAGAAATATATAAATTCATAGTGAGATTTTATTTCCGAGTCAGGTTTTCCAATGTCTTTTTAACGTACATATGAATCATGCGTGAAATTGTTAGTTACCTTATTCCTTCAATTATGCAAATTCTAATCATTTGTAAAATGCAACAGTTGTGGGGCGAAATATGTATAATTTCTGTCATTTCAAACACATAATGAATCTATAATCTTCGATTTGAAAAATTATTATAGTTATACAGACCTATGGAGAATAATATATATATATATATATATATTTCTTTAAAATTTAATCGTTAGCAATTTGTGTCTTTCATTTCTATTCTTCTTTTTTTTTCGTTTTCTTTATTTGAATATAATATATTATATTGTCCTTTGTTTATTACAATTATTATTTTGCTTGCTATTTGATTATATATTTTTCTATTTATTATTTTATTTAATAATCATCATTATAATCATATATAATAAAAGAACATACCACTTAATTAGAAATAATTCAAAACATTTGAAAACAGTAACTTTATAATTTTATTGTAAGTTGAATCTAAATTCTCTAATAAATCTTTCTTTATTTATATAAAATATTTTAGCAAATTTTTAATTTTAGTTATTTTCATATTTTTATTATTTCATCTGTCATTAAATTATATAGGTATTATTTTATTTCATTAAAATGAAATATCGTTAAATGAAAATTAAAACACATTAAATTATTGTGAAACTCATAGAAATTAGGTTTTTTTTTGTTTTCTTTTGTAAATAAATAAAATCAAAGAAATGTCGGAAATAGCCCGAGAGAGAAGTTTGGTGTTCATTAGAGAAAAATTAAATTCTCGTATATATGCAAAATTTATTCTAACTGTTATGCAATAATTATCATCGTAAATGTTTTATAGCGTGCTTCATTTTGTTTATATATTACATTTTTCAGTCGGAAATCAACTTAGATTGCATTTTAACTGAATAAAAGTAGAAAAAATGTTTTCCATTTGAATAAATATAAATTATTATATTTATAATAATAAATATTTGTTTTTTACTTGTAAAAAAAAAAAATTTTTTTCATGCACAAATTGTAAATACGATTTAAGAAAAAAAATGAATACACAACAGAATCAATGTTTAAGTAGTAAAACTATGAATTTGGTCAGACATATAAGTGTACAAAACGGCAATTTTCGTTGTATGTAGTTTCGCGGTTAATTAAATGAGGCTCTAAATAAATTAACGTACAAGTTAAACACGAATTCCAGATATCTCGAGAGTTTTACAATTTATACTCAGTGCTGATACATTTTTTTTTCTCCATCTTATTACATACACGGGAAAATACCGTTTACCCTTCTCGGAAACTCTGTTTCTTGTAGGCGACTATAGAACAGTTGTTGTAGTGTAAAAATAAAGTAAAAAAAAGGAAAAAGATAAGAATATGTAGGTTCTTACTATTGTCAAACAGTGGTTCGAATTTCCGCTTTTCAATAGAGATACATTTTTTGGTTGTTGTTGAATTTTTCTCCCCCCCCCCCCCGAAAAAAATTTACACAAATATAAAGTGACATGTTTTACGTAAATAAACAATTGTAACAGGTTTAAAAATCAAATTTTCTTTCAAATTAATATTTCTCATTGTCATAAATTACAGTGAAAAAAATTTATTTGATTCAAATAATCTATCACTACTTATCAAATAAATATTTACTTGAACCAAATAATTTTTATTTATGAATTAAATGACTCAATTAAATAAATATTTATTTTATAATAATCAAGTAACCAATTATTTAAATGAAATAAATTTTTTCCCCAGTGTTAATTCTTTGATTGTGCGGTAATAGAATAAAATTCTATATATTTCTATTGTTTGTCAATTATCGTTTTAAATTACAGTCAATTGCCAAAACAGTAAATTTGGTGTGCTCGTGCATTAATTTTGTTAAACTGAATAATGTATTTATTTTGAAAGTGTTTCATAATTTGTAATGTTTGGTTGAATTATCTTCTTCAGTTTTGTTTTGTGCATAAACGTAAAACAAGTTTAAATATATTATGTGCATTGGGGATCGTATATGGTGACCGCTTCACGAAAATAAACGCCACACTATGAAACCTTCGTGTTTTGCTTTTCATATTCGAATGACAACATTAGCCAGTGAATTTAAGGTAACACAGAAAATTAAAAGGCATTAAAATAAGCTGCAACGCTCATTATTTTAATCCATTTTGGTATTAGAATAAGCAAAATTGGATTAAAATAATAAGCGTTGCAGCTTATTTTAATACCTTATAATTTTCTGTGAATACACGCGAGCGGAGAATACTCAAATTATTCTTATGCAAATAAAAATCCCCCTTTGTTCTAACTATAAACCTTCGCCTTAGATTAACTTCTTATTCAAAAACTGAAAAAAAAAAAATTTTTAAACTTAAGGTTCCATTTTGTAAGAAATTGCTTTTATAACAATTTATATTCTATAATTTTATAAATGTTATAATACAATAATATATTTGTTTTCTTTATTCATAACTATATTATTTCTTGTTTTTTTTAATTCATTTAATCAGACATTCAAAATTAAAATACACTTTGAGGAGAACTTTACATTAAATATTTTGAATAAATATAACAATATTGGCAATTATTATTGCCATTATTTTAAATTTATTATTTCATATATACATAAAATAAATATAAATTAAAAAAATATAATATATTATTAAAAAATTATAAATAACAATTGTTTCTAATCAAACATTAATGATGTTATTAGATAATGTTATCTAAACAAACTGATTGGTACACTGTGTCCCATTCCAGGCACTGATATCTTTTGTCCCATCACTAATCCTACTACCGCCGATAGTTTTTCGTAGAGAGAGACTGGTCTTTCTTCTTTTGTTGTTATTGGTGTTACTAATTGTTTTATTGGAAATTGTGATACAGCGTTCTTACGAGGTGTTGAGGTTGTTGTTGTAGTTTTATTAATTTTTGTTTTAGCAATGTCAGTGTCAATTTCGATATCGATAGCAGGTGTTACTGCACCTGTTTCATTAGAAGTTGTAACGTCAATAATTTGAATAGAATCGTTAATTAAGGCATTAACTGGAGATATAGTAGTTTCATCATATGCTGGATTATCTTTCTTTAGTACATCCGTAATCTAAACACATTGTATTTAAATTATTATAATTTTATATTGCTCATTTTGATGTGAAACAAAAATGAACCTGGTTAGTGGCGCCACTGTCTATGTCGTTTAGCATTGGCTCATTTTGAATTGCAACAAAAATGAGACTATAGGTTTTTTCTGTGTTTTTTTTTTTAAATTAAGTTTCAAAAAACCTTAGAAGCAAAGTTGATAATGTAAAAATTTTCCCTTACAATAAAAAATAATTACATCCTTATGAAAAAGCAAGTTAGAATACACTGAGAAAATTAAAGATTTTATTCTTCTAGAGAAATCATATTCTTAAATAAGAAAGAATTCTTAAATTACACTTCAAAAATAAGTATCTCATATTAAAATTTTTTGGTAGCGTTTTTAAGACTTTAAGATGTCTTGAAAGCGCTATCAAAACATCATAAAATAAGATATTTGTTTTTGCAGTGTAAAAGTTATTCTTCTTTTGAGAATATTATTCATATTGTTTTATTATTTATTATTAATTAGTTTGTTGCAAATGATAAAATTAATAAATTGAAAAATATTTACTCCAAAAATAATACATAATTATAGTTGAACACAAAAAAGGTTTTTTTTTAAATATATATTTTTTAAAAAAATGTTATAATTACCTTAAAAGTTTGAGCGAAGGATATAATGCTCGTGAAAAATAAAAAATATACGTAAATCATAGTTGCGAATTAAATAATTTTATTTAACTTTTATAATTAAACCACTCAAAGTTAAAAATTTGACTCTTAACTACTGGTGTAATTTTAATATATATATATAGTTCTTCCTCCAACTTTAAATCTCAGCTGTATAAACATATGTTTTTAAATCTGCCCTACAATGGGAAAACACACGTAAGCGACACGTTGTATTTACATGTTGCTTACGTGTGTTTAATAAGATTACAAGAATTATTGTAGAAATAATAAATAATCGTATGAAGGTCAAATTGAATTCAAAATTTTAATATTTCACTCAAATTTTCTACGCACAGAAAATTAAAAGGCATTAAAATAAGCTGCAACGCTTATTATTTTAATCTAATTTTGCTTATTTTAATCCATTTTGGTATTAAAATAAGCAAAATGGATTAAAATAAGGAGCGTTGCAGCTTATTTTAATGCCTTTTAATTTTCTGTGCGTCTTTGGCTTAAAAAATCAATAAAAAATTGTCCACGTGGTATTTGTACATATTAATTTTGACGTCAAATTAAAATTTACTTTTTTATTTGAATTTGACGTCAAAATCGAATCAAAAAAAAAATTTAATTTGACGTCAAAATTAAATGAACAAATGAATGTCTCGAATTAAAATTGACTTTGACGTGAGAATCAAATCAAATTACATAATCGACACCTAGATAAAGATTTTTTTCCATGTATTATTAAAAAAATTTTAGTTTTTCAAATACAGATAATATTAAAAGAAAAATTTTTTTTCAAATTTTTTTCTAAACAAATGTCTATATTTGTAAAAAAGTAATTTTTTTAAATACCAGAGAGAAATTTTCTTAAAAAAAAAACATTTATTAACCTTTATGGGACTGAGGAAATAAACACCTTCTGTGGGCGGACGAGGTACCCGGGTACCTATATTTAATTTATTGAAGGTTTTGTATTAAAATAATATTTATTTTATTTATTTATTTTATTTATTTATTTATTTCGATAGAAAGTAAAAATTAAAAATTTTACATGACTTTAAAAAAAAATTTTTAATTTTTGTCAAAAAAAACTCACTTTTTTTTAAACCAAAATGTTAAATTCGACTTTTAAAAAACAATTTTTATTCATACAGAATCCTGTATGATATCCTTTGGATATCCCATGGATATCTGAGGACATCCCATGGATATCTGAGGATATCCACAGAATATCTTCTGGATATCTCTATAGACTTTCATAAATGTCCTCCAGATATCCCACAGATATCATCAGGATATCCCATAGATATCGTCAGCATATTCCACAGATATTTTCAGGATATTCTCAGTATATCTTCTGGATGTCAAGAAGATATTCTCAGGATACTGTTTTTAAAGTCATTATGAGACTACGAGTGAGAATATTCTGTGAATTAAATTTTATATAAATAAAATAAAATGCAACTTGTTTTTCGAGAAAGTTGTTTAATTTGAAAAATTATCAACTAATTTTTTTCTCATTCGTGATTCATTCCTTTATTCATATGCTTAATATTGTCAGAAAATAAATTGGCTTTAAACAATATAAATTCTTCCCCGCAAATAACGAATAACTATTAATATTAATTATGCATTAAGTGCATGAGTTTATTTAAAAACTTTGAAAAATGCGTTTCAAATCTTCATTTAAAATAAATTAGAAGCTCATAAGATTTTTCTTTTTATTATATTATTATTCATTATATTAGCTTAACAATTTTAACCTTTAAAAATATATGTTGAGATATTAAATATCCCGTGAATATCCTAAGAATATCCCACGGATATCCTAAGAATATCCCACGGACATCTTGAGGATATCCCATGGATATCCTGCGATATAATATCCAATAGATATTTTGTGGATGTCTTAGGGATATCCTATGGATGTCCTGTTGATGTCCCACAGACCGGCGATTTGGATATCCTAAGGATATCCTGGGGACCATTCTAGGATATCGACCATTGATATAGATATCCTATGGATATCCTAGGGATATCATTTTGTTATGAGAGATATATTAGAAAATCAGCTTTATCACAGTTCAGTTAAATAGAAATTCTATAAAATCAGAATTTTGTTAAATAGTAATTTTTCGACATTAAAATTTGGCTCATTATAAAATCTCTTTTTTTAAAATTCTACTAAATGTAAATTTAATCATTTTTAATTTGACACTACAAAAATTCCGTCAAGTCTAATGAAGGGAATATTCATGCGTCCTATAATAATTGTGGAAAAAAACATCCAAAAATTAATTTAATCAGTTGCAATTCGTGCATTAATCTGTTCAGATGTGAGTGTAAATTTTGTAATTTTAAAATTAAAATTTATAGTGTGTTCCTTGCTTTAGTCAATTTAATGTTTTTTTTTGTCACGCGGGAGTGTTCGAAATTCTTAAAATAATAGAATGTAATCGTAATTAGATCATTTTCCTTTCTTCCTTTATTCGTGCGATCGATGAAATATTTTATTTTTGTTTATAAATAAATCTCTAATTGAAATTAGGATCTTATTCTTTAATTTTGTTTTTCTCAAGAATGATGAAATACTCTATTTTTGTTAATATACATATATAGATCTTATATAATAAGATTATTTTGTATTCATAATATAATTAAAATGTATTTGCCTTCTAATGGTCTTTTGATTGTGGGCTCGATATTTTGTTACAAATGAAAAAAAAAGACATCGTAATTATTATTATTACTGAAATAATTATTTTATTTATAATTATTAAATTTGTTCGTAAACTTAAAAAAAATTGGATTATATTTATAATCCGATTTAGATTTATGTTGCATATTCCGCGTTAGTGCTATATGAATTTTTAAATGATTATGAAAATAATCGTTATATATTATAAATCAATTTGGGAAATTTAAATCACTTAATACTATAAGACACTTCTAGTTCATCGATGTCTTGTCGGCATATATAGTGGAATTATACATGCGTATATAAGAAGCCATTACATATATATATATATATATATATATATATATATATATATATATATATACGCACACACGTCCAAAGGCAGGTGGTGAAAATAATAATTGAACAGCACATTAAGTGAATGCTGACTCGACAATGGGTCGTTACAAACGGCATAAATGGATTGAAAAATAAGACAAAGTAATAAAATGAGAGAGAAAGAATGAGAGTATTAATAATGCTCACACTTAATTATTAGTTTCTTGTTTCTCTTTAATTCCCAATGACTAGAAGCATATATACTCTTTGCGCGTATATATATATATATATATATATATATATATATATATATATATATATATTTAGATACGCGCATAATTTGCTGGAATATCTACATACCAATGTTTTATGAGATGGTATGTAACAAAGCCGAAGTAAATACTGTCGAGAGTTGTTATGTCTACCTATAAGGTGGGCAGTAAAAGATGCATCGTCTTTTCTTGCACTTTAACGGTTGCATGCAACCAGCGACAAGGACGAGAGCGAGGTCGGTTGCTGGCCCAGAAGTGGGAGGCTATGAGGCCCCTCAAAGAGTGGGAGACGGAAGTACCTCTAGGAAAGAGGAGGGGGGAGGTGCTTCACGGGAAATAGGGAGAAGAGCGCCCGTGGGGAAAGGAAAATATAATATTATGTATGGGGGAATGAGAACGAGAGCTTCAATGACAGAGGACAATAGCGATAGAAAAATGTGGTCAAAAAACAATTTTTCTCAACTAAACAAAATATATAATAACACAGAAAAAAAAACTGAACTCATTTTTCCTACATCTCATTATGAGATCTGCATCAAAAATAAGTTAACAGATAACTTCACGTTACTCAAAATAAACCTGTATAGAAAAAAAATTCGTTGAATGTGATTAGTGCGTCATATTGGATTTAATGGCTAAAAGCAAGTGTTTCATACTAGATAATGAATAATTGGGGAAAATATATATATAAATATATATATATATATATATATATATATATATATATATATATATATATATATATAAGGAAACAGGGAAACATTTCAAAGTGATTGTATTTATAAATTATTTTTAATTAATCTCGAATTTTTAATGGGGGCGTCATATCGGTCACGTCAACAAGATTCTTATCCTAAAAATTCTATTATTTAATTTCGTTAATTTGTGTAAATCAACTTTGAGAATTAAAGTTTATGTATATACGTTTGTTTATTAAAAACAATTATTTTATTTCTATTGCACTCACTCTTATGTGTTGCCATGGTAACCTGCAGACAGCCAAAAAGATTTGAGTGCGCCTTCATATATCTGAAATGAATTTAAAATTCAGAGTTAAATTTGAACCAATTGAGTGGATTGTTAATATTTAAATAGAAATATAGAACAACAAGATGAATTCAGGAATATACAATAGATAATTAAATAATAAAAAAAAAGAATTGTATAAAACAATAAAATTGTAGTAAAAGATAACACATAAATAAAATGATTAATGAAAATTCGAAAAAGATATAGAAGGATAAAAACTATAACTATATTACTAGAAGAAAAATAATGACGCAGAATAGTAAAAAAGACTTTCAGAATGATACATAAACAGCGAAGAAAAAAAAAGTCTATAACATATGAAACAAATAAACAATATAATAACAAATATAAAATATATAAAAGACTTATGAGAAAACAAAAATAAAAAGTGAAAAACTGACAGCAAAAAGAAAAAAATAAATAAAAAAAATGGAAAATACGTGCAGTATATGCAAAGACAGAAACAAAATGAAGATGGAGAAATATAGAGGGAGGAAGATCCTGAAGAAGATAATCACACTTGGCGAACTGACATAGATCGCAATTTTGCAGTGTACGTCCTTATATTCGCACGAAGGCTCTCGGTGCGCAATAAAAGCTCATTAAAAAGTTTTATGTATATATAGGTAGGTCTTGTGATTTCATATCGTTTCTTCAAACCTTCACGTAGTCGATAAGTTTCTTATTCAATTCGCCCTCTCGTGGTTATATCGGCTTTTTCATGTCTGTAATCCCCCCCGATCACGCAGGGTCTGCAAATTGTCTCGATGACACATCAGGATCAAGCGCATAAGCGCGCACTTGCTCCATTCGATTTCCTTCCCCTTACGAGAAATCTCTCAAGGCCGTTCTTTCAAAACCGGTCACGTCCACCTTTACTTGTCTCTCTCTCGTCTTTCTCGACTCGGATGTACCTTCCTTTTCAATGCAAACGAGTCTATTGAAGTTATCGTTATGGGTCCTCATTTTGCATTCACAATTCTAATAATCCTGTTTCTTTATCTCTAATTTTATTATTATTATTATTGATTTTTTTTTTCTTTAAATATCATTTGATTAATTAGTCGAAAATGTTTTTACTAATTCAGATTTAGAGAGTAATTATTATAATATACTTTAGAAATTTTTTAGAACCAAACCAAATGATCGTTTATTGTCATAACCAAAATTTAATTACGACAACCAAATAATTTAATTCGCTCTCAGCTCGTACCATAAGAGAACAATTAGTTTAAATCTCTCACGAAGATGGGTAGTTCAGTTGTCAGAGCTCCCGACTCGCAGTTTAAAAACAGAGGTTCGATCCCAGGCGGAGATAAAAATTTTCAAAGTCCACAAATATTTCAATTGGATAAATATAAATTAAACTTTAAATTGATAATAAATAAATAATAAAAAAAATAATAAAATGAAAAGAAATAAGGTAGAATAAAATTTTTAATTTTACAAAAAAAAAAATTGGTTTGATCAACCAAACACTTTTGTTATGCCAACAAAATACACTCTACCAAATTTTTTTGTTGACTCATACAAATAGTTTGGTTGTTTAAATACTAACAAAAATTTATTTTTTGCCCAACTAAATTTTTGTTGCTCTGACTAATTATTTTTCTCAGCGTTATATATATATATATATATATATATATATATATATATATATATATAATTCCTTGGTAGTTAAAATCAAAGTCCCTTTTCTACAGTGTGTGATGTAAAATATAAGTCATTAGGCCAAAAATCAAAGAAAATATTAATTAATATAATTTACAATAGATAATGATCATTCGGAGTTTAAAATAAAAAAGATTCAAATCGTTATCTTCACATCTTATTATATAAAAAACGAACACGTGATAAACCAAACATTTTTATTTATTAATATAGTTTATATATTTTATTACTCGATTCTGGTATTATTTTCAACAGTACAATACTGTCGTTTTAGAAACTTGATCAGTATATGTATATATATATATATATATAAAATAAAGGAAATAATAAATAAAATAACAGGAGTGTAATAACAATAACTGCAATTGAAATATAAAATTGATGCTTGAAAGTTATATCACCTCGCACATATATATGTATGTATAGGTATAATAGAACATCGTATATATGCAACATAGTTTTCTATATAAAAGTTCCATTTCCTGCACGTGACTATGCACGCGGTTATCTTCTGTTATTACCTTCTTCTTCTTCAAGAGCCATACACACATATGTGTGTGACTGTGACTTGAATGGTGAATATAAGAGGAGGATTCCATTGGTGCGAAAATTAGCCAATATCATATTTCCTTTTTATATATCAAATATACACGCGATATACAAAAGTAACGTTATACATATTATCATTTATAACTTGACATCAATAATATACAAAGTCAATTTTTATTATCACTCTGGATATCAGAAATTAATATAATAAACGATTTCTAAGACACATTTATAAGTAGACATTTATTTTTGATTGTTTTCTTTTAAGAGATTGGCGTAAACGACCATTCAAACGAAATTACAGTGGTGGACTCTGTAATTTGCGTTCCGTTAGAGACATACTTTAGAAAGTTGCACTTTTCTTACTTTGTATTTTATGCTTTGGTCAACGTAATTGAATGCTTTTAGATGCAAAGATTATATCACTTCCAAATTGATGGAAATAATGGTATATAACACATACATATATATCAAGCATGTCTTGATTTTTGAATGGGTTTTTATTTTTTTTTTTTTTCTCGAAAAAAAAGAAGATCAAATTTCGATTGTGAAACGTGAGACAAGGGGAATTTATCTCCTACGCATATGTCAATTTATCATATATAGATGGTACAGATATAATCACTTATGTTGATTCAATTATTCTTGATTTATTGATCACTAGTACATGACTTATAGCCCTAACGATACAGAAATTACTGCCCACTGTTTTCACGCGAAAAAAACAAAAGAAAAAAAAATTCAATATAGCTTCAATAATACGTGACTGACGACTGTTAACATAGTTGTGAAAATAAATTACAATCCTCTGCGCTCCATGTATTTTATTTTCTCACTTTGTCCGAACGTAAATGGCGCAATAATTTATTACTATATATATATACAGTAAAATGTCGAATAATTACAAACGGAAAATTGAAATAAACGTGCTTTATTTTTCATGAAGAATATTTTAATAGGTGCATTTGCAGAAACTAAAACCGTTAACGGATTTGATAGCTTCAATTTAAAGTGTATGTATAAAACATCCGTGTTTCTATTTTTCAATAATGGGTTGTTTTCTTTTTTTCCGTTTAAATTTATTTTCATATTTTTGTTATTATTTAATGAGATGAGTAATATTTATTATCGTAAAACTAGTTAATTAAATTATATTAATTCTTTCGGAGGTTGGTGACCGTAACATAACCTCAAATTAGAAATTAATTTTTAACTAGATATTTTTAACGCTAAAAACCAAAATATAATGAAAATTAATTGCAGATAATTTTTGAAGATCTAGTATAAAATTTTCGGAAAAAATGATAATAGAATTAAATTTTTGGTCAAATAATTATTTCTTTTTTAATATTTTGACTCTTATCTTTCAGCTCAAAAAAAAAAAATTGCAATTTTTATTTATATTTTCATAAACAATAGTTTTTTTTCTCATTTTAATTATTTAACTAATAAAAAATTCTTTATCTTCATTTTCTTTACTCCAAAAGACAAAAAATAGATTTTGGCAGAAATTTTGTTACTTAATTTTTTTCTTGGATTAAAATCGTTAAGTAATATTCTTTAAATAAAAGAAAATGAAGAAAAATAAATATTTTTAAATATTTCTGTATAATTTTGATCATGGTTTTTTCTCTCTCTTTTTTTTTGACCTAATATACACTTTAGCGAAATGATTTTATATACTTAATAAAGCAGATATGAAGCACGGGAGTTGATTAAGTTTTATACCGAAAGTCTTTTACATCGTGATTGCAGTTGATTACATATGTCTTACTCTCGAAGAGTTTAACAGGTCAATGCGATGATCGTTTGTAATTAGTGACTGCTAATAAATGGATAATATCGTACGGCACGAGCAAACTTAAGAATTTATCGCTATTTTCGATCCGTGTTGTGATATAGAGTTGATAATGAAGACAACAAACAGCAAGAACAACAAAAAACAAAGAGGGAAAATGGGGATGGTTTGGGTTGAATATTATACTTAAGAAATTATCCATTTTCTTTCGCGTGCACTTCCATCTTACGCCATATATTTGATGTTTATCGTTATGGCGCGAGCATTATCTTCAATTCAATCGATGGGGAAAAAAAAAGAAATTTGTTGTTTTGCAAATTCGTTTCGGCTTTAGGTTTTCTAACCATTATGTCTCATAATTTTCAAATTTTTTTTTCTGAAATAAGAAAACAAACAAATTTTGTCATTTCCTTAACGTCAAAATGAAAAAATTTTTTTTTCTTACAAATTGTTGTCGTGACCGATTTCCAAATTTTACGTTTCTTCATATTTAATCGTCTTTTCTTTCCTAATTTTTATTTTTCGTTTCTCTTATTTTTATTGTTATTTCTTTTGTATTTATTATGATTTTTATTATTAATTGATATATAGTTTTATATTTTTTAATATTGAAAATATTTTTTCTGTTTTTTCACATGTTTGCATTGACGTTCTTTGTTTATTTTTGCAATTATTATAGTACTATTTTTTCTTCTCTTGTTTTATTTATTTTTTTCTTAATTTATATATTCTATTTTGTTGATTTTGCGATTAATATATCTTTTGTATTTAAAATGTAATTATTTTTAAACATGGTCTTCTTTTTATTGTTACAGATATTTTATCGTGTGGATGTTAGCCGTAGTGATTGCGAGGTGCAGGGTAAGTATTTCTCAATAATAATAATAATAATAATAATAATAATAATAATAATAATAATTAATAATAAATTATTATTATCATTCAATTTAATAATATGTAATTTTTATTATTGAATTTCAATACAAATTTTTTATTTTCCCAAAAATTAATTTTCAATTTAACTAGGGAAAAAAGTATATTTGTCTCAGAGAAAAATAAATCATTTTTTTTTTGTTTCAAAACAATTTTATTTCAATTTCAATTTCAATTTCATTTATTAACGGGACATGCCCTTTCGTACAAAAGTACTCCTAAATTCTAATAGTTACGTAAGTAACAATACAAAATATAAAATATTAACTAAATCTAGGTAGGCGCTATAATGGTTAAAGTTCAGTATAAGTTTATACAGTAAAGAATAACATAAATTAAATTACATTATTATTAAAGGAGAAGGTTAATTTTTGATAAATTGAATCTGCTTTACCATTATATCAATTAATTTCAAAAATAATTGTTATTGTTCAATAATACTGATTTTCTCTAAATCACAATGTGTACATTTAGTTCTGTATGTATTTCCTTAAATCACTTTCATAGATAGAAATAAAATAAGTTTCTCAAGGAACGGACACAACCTTGGGCACCAAGTGGGGAAATATTTGGTTTAAATAGAAATTTTATTTGTGTTAAATTGATTTTTTTAAATTTCAAACAAATAATGAAGTTTGTCACAAAAATTTTATTTTGTTTATCCTCTGATTTCCAGTCAGAATTTAAATTTTTTTCCTAACCCTATAAGTGAAAATATTTCAATAGGTTTTTAATTATAAAAAATTCAATAATTTTTTGAAGCAAAAGTTTAAATTGAAAATTTCAATAATTATAATTTTAGTAACATTTTTAGAAATTTGATATTTTTCCAGTATTTTTGATAAATTTCCACCGACTTTCCCTAAGCCATGGCAATCCTGCGTCATAAAAAAAGTTATTAAAGTCTCTGAGACGAATGTATTTTTATTTGATGCAAATAAATTTTATTTATCTCTAATAAATGGAAATAAAAAATTTCTCTGGTTGTATAATTCAAATTTTATTAGACGATGATGAAGTTCACAATATACAATTTTTAAAGAAATATTTTTTTTGAATGAAAAATTCTATTAATTTTCACCTGAAAAATATTTCTTCCAATGTTTATTAATCAATAATTTATAAAAACAAAAGATTGTTTTAGATAAAAAATTTTTATAATTTTCCGTTTTTAAAGGTTTTAAACAAATTTATTTTTTGATCGTTTATCATAACCATTATGGATTTCAGTATCGTGACAAATTTACATTTTAATGATATAGAAAACAATGTGGATTACATTAGTTTTTAAATAGGTATATACTTTTTTTATTAAAAAAAAAAGAAATTCTTTTTATAAATAATTAATATTATTAGAAAATATTTTAATTGAAATATTTAATAGGCGGTAGGTCACGATAATTCGGAACTCGAGGCAGCTGGAGACGAAGCAGCAGTGGATGATGCGACAGAAGATTATTGGGCCGGAAGTGGAGCAGGTCCAGAAGAAGAAGAAACACATCGAAATGAATCTAGGGAAGCGTTAACACACGAGGCGAGCGATCACGATGCTGTAAGTAGCAACTATTTTGATTTAAAAAATAATAATAATAATAATGTAACTTTTTGTAAGCGAGCGAAATATTTGAAATATTTAAATTAAATTCAAAAGGGGATACAAGTATTATAGAATACAATAAAAGTATGGCTAATAAAAAAGCAATTAGGCCTTTCTCGAAATGCAAGGTGAAAAAAATTGATAAATATTCCCTCGTTTAAGTCAGTGAGTTATAATTTATATGCAAAAGGGCTGAAGATTTTTCTCGTGTAAAAGCTATGGAGAAACTAGGCGTGAGAAGTAAGAATGTTGTTTGATGCTACGTAACTTTAAAAGGCGAAGGGTTTCGTAGGCTGTTAAGTTGCGTAAGTGCGTATCGTTTCTACGGAAAGAATATATATATATATATAAAGCCCTAGCGAATAGTTTTAGCCAAAGCGTTTTACTTGACTTCCTCAAGAAATGCTGTGAGAGATTCATCTTGTCGACGCTGTTACACGAGAATTCGAATAAAACAACAAACGAGATCGATGCGGGTATATTATAAAAGAAGAAAGTGAGAACGAATGAAGAAGAAAAAATAAGAAAAAAGGGGAAGAATTGCACGTGCAAGGAATACAACTTGTATAATACTTATATCCTGTTATATACTTACGACATTAATGGGTGAACGGTTCCCTCGAAACCAGATTTGAAACGATCAAACAGGAAGAAGTCTTCGCATACGCCTTGAGGCATTTCAAAGCCAGGAAGATCAGAAAGAAATTCAACGAGAGCACCAATAAGAGAATAAAAAGAAAATGAAACAAAAGAGAAAAGTATATCAAGTTAAAGTTGTATACTATATATATATCAGAAATAGTACAAGAAGGGGGGATAGAAAAAAAAAAAACTAAAATCCTTCATCCGCTTTCGTTCGAGCAAAAAAAAAAAAAGAAAAATAAATAAAAGAGAATTGAAGACCTTGCACTTTGCCAATCATAGTATTTGTTTCTCATGACTTACTACTGGGTTGGAGGGTTAATTATCAATGAGGCATCCGCGAGGAGATAGCACTTACTCTTGCGCGACGTTTATTATTTTATATATCTAGAGTTTGCATTATAACTATATCCTTACTATACTTGGAAAGTCACAAGCTCTGTACAAAATTATCCCAACTATTATTTCTGTTATTACAAAAGCAAAACTCGCGGACAGACGAGATTTTTCGTAAAAACTAAAAAAGAAAATATAAAATCATGGAGAAAAAATCCGGGAAATGAGTGTATAGCATATATCCTGTGAATTATATATAATTCAAACTTTTACATATATCAATTTTTCCATTTTTTATTTAACTTTCTGCTAATTTTAATTTCTTTAATTGAACTAATTTTTTGGTTAACATGAATATATACACTGTTCTCGAATTTGGACCTTAAAAAAAAACTAGCCACTTATCAGACGTTTTTCAAAGTTAGCAGAACAAATTTTTAAAATATTTCAAAAAAATCTAATGAATTTAAAATAATTCCTCTTTGTTGGATCCGAAATTTTGCATTTTTAAAACCTGATGCTAAATTCGTAATCAGTAATTCCGAAAATCCCTGGTAGTGAATTTTAATCAAATCAGATTAATTTTTATAAATTCTTCGCCATATTGAATCCACCATTTTGAATTCTGAGAAACTTACGTTAAATTTGTAATCAACGTTTTTATTCGGTAAAAACACTGTAAAAACTGGCCGTCTAAGACACCAAATGTGGGTAAGAATTCCTGAAGTGGCCCCCAAATATTTTTTGTGTAATAGAAAAAAGTGATACTCATATATTTTAGTAGTCCATGATGTCACTAAAAAACCCCTGAAACGATTTTTCAAAATTCGAATTTTTTCATAAGTTATAAACAATTAAACTTTTTTGCAACGTTTTGGAAAAAATTCTGTATCTTGAAATTGGCCGAACCGATTTTAATAAAAATTGGTTTGGAGAAAGATTAAGATACGTACTTTTGATAAATAAATAAATTATGAATAAAAAGTATAATTTGTTTAAACAAATTATATTGTTAATTTTTAACTTTATAAATTAACAATGTTCTCAGTCGATTTTTCCAATTTTTTTTATAGCATCATAAAAAGGGGCTTTTCACGATTCCATGACAAAAATAAAAAAGTGGGATTCTCAAAAACTTTAGAAGATACAGAATTTTTAGTCTTAACGCGCGCGAGTTTTCTGAGCAGCTTACGCATACGGCACGGCATCTCCCGCGCGCTCCGCGCCAACCAAGACTCCATATAAGAGTTCCCGATTATAATATTTTATTAACTCAATTAAACTAAACAGTTGTTTATATGTATTTTATTATTCATATCATTTTTGTTTATATTTAATAATTTTTATTATTTATAAAATTTCTGTTTATAATAAGTTTCTGATTATTTAATTTTAATGATAAATTTTCAACGATTTTTAATTGCTTTGTTTATGTATCAATGAATAATAAAATATATTATTGCGAATCCGTGTTTTATTTTTCTAGACCGCATTGTTTAACGTTTGCTGTCAAAATTTTAACAAATTTCACGTTTATGCGCACTGAATGAAAATTTGCGCGTTTTCACGTGAAAACAAAAGAATCGCGACAATCGTCTGGTCATTCACCTAACATGATAATTTCGTTTTTAGATCATAGTATTTTCTTTACGTATACATAAATGTAAGTCCGTGTTTGTTGTTTCGAATAGTATTTTTCACGTTGTATATTAAAAATTTTACTTTTTCGCGTATGTGCTATAAAAACAAATCTTAAAATATGCCAAAAGCAAATACTTGCTGCAACCCGTTGAAAAAAACGAACATAAAGCAGTTTATAAAAATCTTGTGAAAGTGCCTAATTCGTGGAATTATAGATTTAAAAATTTAATAGGACAGTTCATTTGTTTTTCGTGCAAAGCAGCCATCAACAAATTAAAGAAAACGAAAACGTTTTATAAGCCAAAAATTATTAATTATTAAAAAAATGATATGCATAATAAAATACATATAAACAACTGTTCAGTTTAATTGAGTTAATAAAATATTATAATCGGGAACTCTTATATGGAGTCTTGGTTGGCGCGGAGCGCGCGGGAGATGCCGTGCCGTATGCGTGAGCTACTCAGAAAACTCGCGCGCGTTAAGACTAAAAATTCTGTATCTTCTAAAGTTTTTGAGAATCCCACTTTTTTATTTTTGTCATGGAATCGTGAAAAGCCCCTTTTTATGATTCTATAAAAAAAATTGGAAAAATCGACTGAGAACATTGTTAATTTATAAAGTTAAAAATTAACAATATAATTTGTTTAAACAAATTATACTTTTTATTCATAATTTATTTATTTATCAAAAGTACGTATCTTAATCTTTCTCCAAACCAATTTTTATTAAAATCGGTTCGGCCAATTTCAAGATACAGAATTTTTTCCAAAACGTTGCAAAAAAGTTTAATTGTTTATAACTTATGAAAAAATTCGAATTTTGAAAAATCGTTTCAGGGGTTTTTTAGTGACATCATGGACTACTAAAATATATGAGTATCACTTTTTTCTATTACACAAAAAATATTAGGGGGCCACTTCAGGAATTCTTACCCATGTGTCTTAAAACAAGACGTTTTTTGCACTTTTAAGACGGCTAGTTTTTGCAGTGAAAGTGGATAGAGTTTTTCGAAAGATTGATTCTTTTTAATTGTCACTACATACACAAATATTTACACGGACAGAAAAAGTTTACTTTGGCAGCAAACTATTTGCTGTCACATCAGATTCCGTTAGCTAATATAGAGACAGCGAACAAATTACAAACAAATTAAGACTTATATTGTTTATTGCAGCAAAATTTTTCGCTATCATAACAAAAAATTGAGCTGTGGCGAGGGGGAATTTACTCAGGTAGTAAAGTGTACACTTTTCCTGTAATACTTGTGTAATATCGTGTAATACCGTGTAATAATGCGTTATTACGGTACTGTAATAACGCAAAAAAGTCTGTAATATCTCTGTAATAATGTGTAATACTCTGTAATAACGTGTAATACTTAGTAATAAGGGTAATATGAGGTGTATTACTGGTAGTCAAGTGTACACGTTTTTAACTAGTAAATTCCCCCTCGAGCTGTGGTTACTAATTTTTGATAGATCCAATAGCAAACATCAGTAAGCATCTGTAAGCAATTCGTTTTTCCTTGTATTTAAAGATTGCGATTTCATACTGCCTATTTTCCTAAATTGAATCAATGAAAAAATTACTAATTTTAAGTAAATAATTTCTTATGAAAACTTTCACTGCTACAAATCTATATATGTGACGCTCCACGAGAAAAGGGACCTTATGTCAAAGAAATTTTAGGTTATGTTTAGTGCTGGTTTTACCTTTATAAAAAGTTACTAATTAATTATAATTAATTATAATTATAATTATAATCTACCTATATCAAAAATAATTTTCAGTAAATTTTTCGAATGTAATGCAGACTAAAACATAAATGTTTTGTACTAAGTGTTGATTCTTTTTTGTGTATTTTCACTTAAAAAATCACAAACATAAGTTAAAATTTTTTACCACACAGAAGAAAAGGAAATGCTTACAGAAGCTACTTGATGTTTTCTATCGGATCTATCAAAATTAGTAACCACAGCTAAATTTTTTGTTATGACAGCGAAAAATTTTGCTGTAATAAACAATATCAGTCTTAATTTTTAAAAATTTTCTGTCACAGTAAACTTTTTTGACCCCACAGCAAATTTGTTCGCTGTCCCTATATTAGCTAACGGAATTTGATTTTTTTATAGTTGAACTTAATATTAAACTTTCAAAATTCAACTATTTATTTATTTTATATATTATTATACATATAAATCTTACTAAAAAGCCAAATCAGTGAAATTAAACTGACTAATGAGTGCCTGGAACTGGCGATTTTATGTATATCTCAAAGAAGATAAATCCGGAGGATAAAAAGTTGTTAGGAATGAGCATATCCTGCGAATCAG